CCAGTGCCAGACTCTCACCCCGCGGCGGCGAGAACGCGCCCCGGGAAGGCGAAGAGGCGTCTGGTCCAGTCCTGGGGCCCCGGCCCTGGCCGCGTCTGGGGAACAGGCCGGTGCGGTAGGGCTGGGGCGGCGGGGACGCACTGGCTTCCAGACCCGGAAGGAGCGTTCGTCGGGCAAACGCGGCGACTCTGCATTTCCCACAGACCCGAGTCCCAGGTGCGACTTTATTCCTGGCCGTGTGACCTTTGGCACGCTACTTAACTTCACTGGTCCTTGCTTTCCTCAGCCACGAATCGGGGTACTGATCCATACCCCTCCACCGTGGGTAAGGGTTCAGGGAAGCCATCTGGGGAAGGTGCTCAGAGGCGGTGTCTCCTGGGAACGTGTCCCCACCCCACCCCCCAGGGGCTCAAACTAGGATGGGGGCTTCACCCGGCCTCTTGGGAAAGTCCTCTCCCTCACCCCGCCCCCAATCCTAGAGCCATCTGTCCTCGGGGGAGTAATTTGGGATGAACCCAGAAAGGCAGGAGGAAGGGGACCCCCGCAGCTGGGAGCCTCCCCCCTGCTGCACAGTCTTTCTCTTTTTAAACTTTAAAAAGGCTGGATTAATTTCTCAGTGCTTGACAGAAGAGGAAACCGAGGCTTGAATGGATGACCCAAAGCCCAATATTTTAAAAATAAAAAAAGGAAGGAAGAATGGTATAGAAAGACCCTGGGGACGGGGAGCAGTTTCCCAGGACCTCACTGCGCCTCCCCGGCGGACAGGTTCAGTTTACGAACTACCAGGTGGCTGCTCCGCCAGCGTTTAAGCTCAGCTGAAGTCAACCGCAGAGAGAAGTGGAGGCGGCATCAGCGGGGGGCGCGGTTCCATCTGACACCTGCTGTGAGGTCTCTCATCCCCCCCCCTGCTAGTCTCTGCACTCAGACCCGCTGGCCCCATTCACCCTGGGCCACTGCCATCCCGGAGCAACATCTCGGCGTCTCAGCTTCTCCAGCTCAGCCAGCTCAGCCTTAGACAGCCCTTGCCCCTCAAACCTTCTCCCCTCGCCCCGCTTTCTGCTGCTGGTGATGGCAAGACCATCTGTCCAGGTGCCTGGGCCCAGGACTGGAGAGTCATACATACCAGCCCTCCCCATCTCCTAGGGGCTGGACCACTCCTCTCCGGGACTGTGTCTTCCCCAACCTGCTTTATGGCGACACCAGCCTAAGTTAGGGCACTCCATGTGCTGCTGTGACTGCCCCGTCCGGCCTCCGCTCAGTGGCAGGCAGGATGAGCTTTCTCAGACCTAACTGTGATCACGTCATTCCCCAGATGGACAACCCTCAGGAGTTCCTTGTGGCCCCTGATCCTTAGACAATGTAAGTTCTTTTAAGGCGTTTAATCATCCTGCCCTTGCTGACTGCTCCTACTTGTTACTCCTCTTCCTCCATATACAGCCCAGATTCAAGCCACTACCCCCCCACCCCCCCCACACAGACACACACACAGACACACACACACACACACACACACACACACACTCATTTCCCTCATGGTCAGATGGTAGTTCCTCGCTCTGGAATGACCTCCATCCCATCTTGTCCTCCTGGGGGACACCAACTTAGGATGTCAGAAAAGAACTTGAGGTTTCAAGACAGGGGTTTGAATTTCAGTTCCTTATTCTTTTATTCAGCGAATATTTATTGAGCACCTATTTATGTCCCAAATGCTGGTTTATTCCCTGAAATTACAAGTGTATAAAAAATTAAATATTGCCCTCTTCCCCTTCCAGGTTAGTCTAGTACTAGAGATAGACTTTAACCCAAAAGTCACCCCCCCCCCAAAAAAACGCATGTTTACAACTGTGCCAAGCGCTAGGAACGAAAGGTGCACAGGTCATGAACGTGTACAACAGAGGACGCTGACCTAGACGAGGTACGCAGGGAGGGCTCCCAGCGGAGGTCCGGAGGTCCGTCCTTGGGTTGAAATCACCGTTACGTGGACAGAAGGGGAGATGGAGAGAAGGAAAGGCATGGCCAGCGGAAAGCGGCACTTACTAGCTGTGGGACCTCGAGCAACTGACTCGACATCTCTGAGCCCCAGTTTCCTCATCTTTGAAATGGGTGAACCATCGTAGTTTAAGAGGTAAGTGCGATGAGACCCACACAGCTCCCGCACGTGGCTCTGAGCAGCGCCTCCCCCTCAGCTGCGCTCCGAGGAGGCTTCTGCCCTGGCTTTTGTGGTGGAGAGTCGGGAACTGGATGCATGAGAGTCGGGAAGCTCCCAGCATTAGTCCAGGCGGAAGAGGCTGGAGGCGGAAGAGCTGGTCCCCCGACAGAAGACCATGCATCTTCCTAATAAAGAGCAGAAGGAGAAAGGAGGGGAGGGACTAAACGCCTGGGGAGGCGGCGTGAGAGAAGCAGGATCTGTAGGGCAGTGGGTGGGAAGCTAAGGGGAGTTTTAGATCATGGCTCGTAAGCTGGGTGGCGCCTGAGCACCGGGGGACGCTGCGCCCTGGGCCCAGCCGCCCCTTCTGGGCTGAGTGGGCGTCCCGCGCTCCAGGAGCCCCGGGTCGGCTTGTGCTGCGGCGGCCGTGACACCACGTTGCTACCATTCGTTACTGTTCGTGGCCGTTTGCTCCTCTAGACAAAGAACTTCTCAAGTCAAGCAACTGTGTCATATAAGAGAAAAAGTGCCATCTTTGAGCCTCTGGATCCAGTCGTAACCCTGGTCGTTGCAGTGACAGAGCCAGAAAATCACCCTTTGCTAACGCGTGTCTGAGTTGGGTCTCAGTCATCACCTGCAACTGATAAAGCCTGGCCTAGAGCAGGGAACAACCCAGGTTCAGTGGTGGCGTGAGAACGGGGCTGGACCGCCCGTCTGGGCGGGCAGCGCAGGGAAGGCTGCACAGAAGAGAGGACGCTCCCAGCATTCCAGGCGGAGGGCCGGTCCTAACAGAAGGAACGGCACGTGCAAAGGCTCAGGGGCACGAAGCCGCAGGTGTGAAAGGATAGGTCTTCAGCCCTCTGAGACGGTTCCCTCCATTATCCGAAGTTCTCTCTCTCTCAATAAGACCTTATGCTCGCAAAGTAACAACACGCAGCCCGACTGCTCGCTCGGGTCTCTCCTGTGCTCCTGGGGTGGTGTGTCTGCTGGGGACAACGGTTCTGTGTAAGCAGTGACTGCTCTTTCTCGCCCAGGCTCTTTCCCCACATCTTTCAGAAGAGCCGGGCAGGGAAAGCAACTGAAAATCAAAGAAGCAGCCTCATCAGCGTGGACTCGAACCAACCAGACGGCTCATAGCTCCTTATCGCTTACCTTATCCCAGCTGGAGCCCCGCCTTCGGATGACAAAGAAGTGATCCTCTCACGTGCTCGGCTCCTGCAAAATTGTACCGAGAGGACTTGCCTAGAACGTTCTAGCACACGGGGATTTTTCCTCATCTGGTTGGCAAACGTTTTTCTGTTTGAACTCATCGATCCAACTTTTTCCGAAGATGTGTTTTAAATTGGATTTGTTTCACTGAGACAAATGACTAAATCAATAGGACCGCAGCTGGGGTTTGCTGCGGCTGCGGCTGCGGCTGCTCTCCAAGAATCCACCATGTTTTACACTAAAACAGGCTTGGTTCCTTGGCAACAGGATACACCTGAGCTCCCCAGGTTCCGGCCCTGCCAACGTGCTCAGCGTGGCTCAGCGGAGCCCAGGCAGAGAGGCTGAGATGACCCATCAGCAGCATCCATCCCTGTCGCTGGAAAAGCCACCTCAAGCACACATCCACTAATGATGACCTGAGGCTTCTCCATACCCAAAGGTCAGTCCCTGGATCCCCACCTCCTCCCCAGCTCAGAAACACAGGAGGCTGAAAGCAGCCGTTTCGAGCAGCTTAAAATAGCTATCCTGGAAGTTAGCACATCCACGCGGACTAAAGGAAAATGGGCTTGCAAGTCAGACAGTCCTGGGTTCAAGTCCCTCCTCTCCAACTTACCAGCTCTGGCACCTGGAGTAGTTAATCTCTCTGAGCTTCAGTTTCCTCGTCTTTAAAACAGTAACATTAATACTTTTGGAGTAGTTACTTCATCTCTCTGATGAGATGAAGTTTCCTCGTCTTTAAAACAGTAACATTAATACTTACGGTTCAGAGATATTATGAATAAATGGCTTGCTGTCCTTAGGAAATGATTAGTCTCTGTGCTAGTCAGGTTGTGTTACGTAATGTGGCATAACAGATAGCTCTTATATCTCAGTGGCTTAAAACAACAAACATTTATATCTCACTAGTGATCTGTGATCAACTGGGAAAGCTTCGCCCTGAACTGGGGGTCCAGTTCAGTTTGCCCTTCGAGTCTTTCATTCCCAGGCCAGTGGCTTCCCTGGGCTCGCTCTTCTCGGGGTACGAGGCAGGAGCCGACAGGGCTGCCCCAACTATGCACATACTTGGAGCTTCTGGTGAGACTGAGCATATGTTAACTCAGCTCATGCACCCTGACCAAAGCAGGTCACGTAGACAAGCAAGAACTGTGCCCTGTCCTCAGCGAAGCTGCGGCAAGGTGGGGACACCCAAAAGAATTGTGAGCAAATGATATCATCCACACAGTCTGCAGTTAACGGAAGCCGTTATTGGTTCATTGTTCCAAAATGGCTTCGACAGCCAAGCTTTTTTATCCATCCCCTCTGCTGCCCCCAACCCAGGTCCCCGTCGCCTGCATAGTGGTCCTGACGGGTCAGTGTCTTGGTGTCTTCTCTCCTCTCCATGCGGCGTTCTGTCCCCAAGATGGTCCTCCTACAGACGCCATGCCCTCCGCCAGCTTAAACGCGCCCCACGATTCCTTGTGACCCACATGGGTGTTTATTAACACAACCAACAAAAATCGGCGTGTTAACTCCAGGCTTCTCAGCGTGGCCCTTGATGGTGTGGTGTGTAGGCGGGTGTGCCCATTCTTGCCACCTGTGCTCCTGGTGGCCCGCTGGTTCCGGCCGCGTCCCTTGCCACCCGAGGCTTCCCCGGCCGATCCCACCCCACCCGCCACCGGCGTGGCTCCCAGCATGCCTAGTGCTTTCAGGTCTTGGGCCCTTGCTGTCCCTCTCCCCTCTGCCTAGAATGTCCTTCCCACTCTTCTCCGCCTTTCAAGCCCAGTGCCGATGGGCCACCTCGGCGGCTCTTCCTCAAGACGCCAAGGAGGCGGCCACCCTGTGCCCGGGCTCCCGCAGCGCACGGCACCCGCCTCTGTGACAGCTCTCAAGTCCACTGCAGTGTCGCGGTCTGCTCACTCGCTGTTTGCTCACCGTCCTCCCGCCTCCGGCAAGCTGCCCGAGGCGAAGTTGCCCCAGCCTCTTGGAGTCAGCCTGGCCAGGAGGAGCCCGGTCAGTGTTTGTGGCACAGACCAAAGTATCATGGGAGAGGAGGGGGTGCCGAGATATCTGGGAATAAGTTTGTAGCGATGTGTTTCAATGGCTTGAAACGACACTGTTATCCTTCAGCTCCGGAGGCGAGAAGCCAAAAGTGAGCCTCACGGCACTGAGGTCAAGGTGCCAGTGGCGGCTCCGGAGCGGGGGAGCCGGTCCCTCACTCCTCTGGCTCCTGGTGGCTTCCCGGGCTTATGGCCCACGTCGCTCCAGCCTCTGCCTCTGGGGTCACACTGCGTCCTCCTCTTCTGCAGTCCAGTCTCCCTCCCGTAAGGACACTTGTGAGGACGCCAAGTCCACCATGACAATCCAGGACCGTCTCTCCATCCCAAGGTCCCTGACTTCATTCCCTCTGCAAAGTCCCTTAACCGTCATGGTAACAGTCACGGGTTCTGGGATCAGGGGTGTAACGTCTTGGGGGGGCTCCGTGTGTCCTTCCACAGGCCTTCCGAGCCGGGCTTCCTCCCACGAGCACACGAAGGCAAACCTCCCCTCATCTCTTTCGGCAAAAGTTTTCTATAAAGAGCCAGGTAGCAAATATTGTGGGCCTGATGGGCCATGTGTGGTCTCTGCAGCATATTCTCTTTTTAAATAACCTATTTTTTTAAAAAATAACCTTTCAAAAATGTAAAATCCAACACCTGGTCTAGAACTCGTCACCTACCAACCTCCATACCAGTCTCCAGCAAAGGTGGAGTGGGCTTATTACACTTGGCTTAGACCAGTCACCCAAAACTGGCGTTCCAGAAACATCCGACAGAGACACATAGGCGGCTCTTTCTGCTGTCAGGGGGTCAGCCCTGTCTCCACTTCCTGCCCCAGCGGGGAGAAGCCACTGGCGGCTGGTTCGTCCCTATCCGAGTAGGAGAGCAGAACCCACCTGCAAGCCGCTGTGGAGATGCGTGCCACACTCCCATCACGGTCCACAGCCAGCAAACCAGAGCACCTCCCTCCCCGGTTCTTCTGAACTCTTCATTATCCACCAGGCTTAAGGCGCCCTCTGGTGCCTTAAAGGCGAAGGAGGGCTGGAGGTGTGGACTAGAAGCCAGCGGAGTTGTGACAGCCACATGGCACACGCTGCAGGAGTCCAGAGCTGTGGGCGGAGCACAGTCGGGTACTTTGCTCCCATCCTCGCATTCCTTACCTTCAAGGCTGCTGCCCGCCTACCACGTAGGGGACCTGGAAGTGCCGGTGAGGGTTCAGGAGGACGGACACCAGCGTCCCCTGCCGGCCATGCTCGTCCACAGCAAGGCTTCGTACATTCAGGACGGAATAAATAACAAGCTGTTTTCTGGTCGTTTCTGCCCTGTTCTTCACCACTTTAAGTCACGTGTAGCATCTTATAACTGGGTGAAAAGTGAAATGCTCTGCGAGTTGATGGATTGTTCTAGACACACATCCTCAAGCAATTGTTTGATGGATATTTTTTTATCAAATTGACTTTTTTAAAAGATGATAATAGAGAAGAAAGACAATGAGATTTTAGAAAGGTGTGACTGCCCGAACATACAACATACTGGCTGTGTAGGTGTGGTCCGTTTGGGTGGAGTAGGGATGCTGACCACGCCAGGTCTACAAGGGGCTGGGACTCGAGGTGGAGACGGGTACTGGGGTGCTTTGCTACCTGCAGGGTCACGTAGTAAGGTCAGGCGGCAGGAGCACTTACTCCAACTGGAGTTCGTGACTGGCGTTTGCTGTGAAGGGACAAAGAGTCTCATTTGACCTGGCAGGAGCACTTACTGGAGTAAGTGCTAGAGTTCGTGACTGCCGTTTGCTGTGAAGGGACAAAGAGTCTCATTTGACCCCAAGCGTGGGCGATGAGGCAGACGCTGGTGGCGTTTGGTGCCAGAGTCTTGTGGAAAGGGCACCTGTTCACATGCACACCCAGGTGCCACATGGGCTAATTGTGACCCCAGGTGTCCAGCCTCTGCCCTTCCACTCTGCCTCGCCGTGGCTATGGTGCCCATGAGTCTCAGTCCTGGCTCGACGTGGGCCAGGGATGAGCGAGCTCAAGCTACCAAATGCACGGGCTCCTTCTGGAGAAGGTTGCTGCAGGGGAGTAAGATTTTCCTGATGACTCGAGCGCCCAGGACATCGGTCCCCACGGTGGAGAATGACGTGGGAAGGCAAGTTGACGTCCAGCTTCCTGATGAGCATGGTCCTGGGCCTCCCTCCAGCCCAGGGGGAGCTGAGAGGGCTGGGAGGGCGGGACTCCTAACAGCTCCCTAGGTGAGTCTCACGCACACTAATGTGAGAATCAATGCCATGGGGACCCTAAAATAGTTAAGGAGCATGCTGGTGTAGTAAGATAAAAAAAAAAAAGCATGTTACTCGCAAGCTCAGTGTATATAAAAACAATCTATCTGTGTGAGTGTGCTAACGGGCACCTCAGGTACCAGAAATTAACAGCAATTACCTCTAGATCACAATTTCTCAGTCTCAGCACTATTAACATTCAGAGGCCGGCAACCCTTTGCAGAGAGGGCAGTCCAGCGCATTGTGGGTATTTAGCAGCATCCCAGGCCTCTGCCCACTGAAGAAGGCCAGTAACACCCCCTAATTGTGACAATCGAAATGTCTGCACTTTCCCATATGTCCCCTAGGGGACAAGATCCCCCTAGTTTGAAAACCACCACCCTAGATGTAAGGTATGATAGATGTTTTACTTTTAGTCTATCTACCCTTTAAAAAAAAAAATTCTAAAACAAAGTATTTGGGTCATGTAAAAATATCAGTGTTTCTTAAAGTCCTATTGCTTGTGCCGTCAAAAAAAACCCACACAGATGGAAAGATACTCACATTAGTATTTATAGTAAGATGAAAAGATACATTAGTATTTATAGTAAGTAAACTAATCATAATTTTAAGATAATTATGGGAAAACATATACAAAAGGCTCCCAAATATCAGTATTCCTTAAGAGGCTTTAAAATATTTATAAACTTTGGAATAGGTATTCTGATCTTAAGTATATATCTAAAAGAAGCAATTTTAGATATAGGAAATGCTTTACAAATATGGTTGATTTTTACAGAGTCAATTATAAAAAACAAAAAGTTATGAACACTAAACCCAACAATAGGAAACTAATTACGGCCCATTCACTTGGTAGACTGTAATACAGTATTAAATGATATTTAGAAAGAATTTATAACAATGTAGGGGGAAGGTTTATGCTAGATTGTTAAGTGGGGAGAAAAATGGATACAAACTTGAAGATGTCTCACCAGCACTGGCAAATATAACAATAATTACAATGAAAAGAATCCTATGAATCCATAGGGCTAAAAGAAATATATCAAGATATTAAAAAGTGATTGAACAATGGCATACTCAGTGATTATGTTCTTTCTACTCTTCTGAAATGTCCATATTTTCTATATAAAAAAAAAGCATGTGTGTATTTATAGTGAGAGATAGAAAAGAGTAAAATGTAGATTTTTTAAAGTTCAAAATGATCACAAAATGAAAATATGCCAAAATTTCCAGTAAGAAATATGTCTTTATATCAATCTATACACAAATTTCTATCAAAAGGATAAAAATGACTTTGTTCAAAAATTAAATACATTTAGAAAGTACAATGTAAACTAAACATGATCGTACCTATATCACGAGCTCTGGGGAAGATAAAATTTAAGGGTGATTATACTACATAGCGGGTCAATAAAAGTTGTATGCAGTAACATGATAAATGGCAAACAGAAAATGATTTGTAAGAAAAAACAAGCTGGATAAACATTTCTCCCATCCTGGGATCACATTCTTCTAAATCAGAGGATCTCACGTGGAAGGAGATAAAATAACCTGGGTGTGATTGGAATTAACTAACCAAAGACAGATTTCAGCCACCTCCTTGATTTGATCCAACTTGTTTACATTCATACAGAGTGATGGGCAATCCAGCCCACAGGAAACCATCATGGCAGACAACGGGCAGACTTTCTCGGCAGACCTCACAATTGTAAAAGTCAATATTTGCCAAACCTGGCCATTCCCAGGTGGCTCCGGTGAATTCTCTTGTTCGCTCATGCCTGTCTTTCATGTAGACATCGATTATATCTTACAATAGACCTCAAAGAGGGAGGCAGCTGCGTGCATTCGGTAGAAAATAGAAAATGGCATGGCCAGGTTGACCGCAATTATCCAGGGTTCAAAGCCAAAGACAATTTCCTCCAATCCGTTGTCATACTCGGGGCGGCAGCCGAAGGCGGGAGGGATCCACAGCTGCAAGAGAAGAGAGACAGACGGTCCATGCTGCCTCCGGGGAGGCCTCACACAAACCCTAGGGGCCCACCTGGACAGAGGGAGACTGAGTCACACCTGTCGCAGTGATAAGTGGTCTCTACATCATTTCCGACCCCCGTGGAGCCCATGAGAGCCACTGAGCCCACCTGACCCTGCTCTCCCTCCGCCTTGCTCCTGGAGGAATGCTTTTCGAACCCGTCTGACCCCCTCCAGCTCTGCAGCCCCCACCTTGGTCGGGCCCTCAGCTTCCCCCACACGAACTGCTGCAGTGCTCCCCAAAGATCACCCCACTCCGGTGGGTGCCCTCATCCCACCCCCCACAGGCTATAGGAGAGATCTGTATGAAGCACACATAGGACTTTGTCACTCCTCTGATTGTCACTCACCAGTGGCTCCAGTCGCCTTCAGGAGAAAGTCCAAATTCCCTCAGTGATAGGGCACCCGTCCATGTCTCCATGTCCCTTGTCACGCCCTTTCCTCCAGCCTCCCCGGGCTGTGCACAACCCCCAAATATGCCCTTCTCTCCCAAGTCTTCTTTGCTCCTGCCTCTTCCTCTGTCGGGGGCTCCATGTCTTCCCTCTGATAAATCCTACCTTCCTGCAAGTCCTGAGACGCCACGTCCTCCAGGAAGCCCTCCTTGATCTAACTAGTCTTCAGGAACTCCCTCCGTGTTCCTACAGCCCCAGTTTTTACCTACTGTAATTTACCTTCATTAATCCTCAGTGTCCTCATCTGTAAGGTGGAAATACTAACACCTGTCTCGGAGGACTCAGTTGAGAATCGAAAGGCGACTAAGTTTGCAAAACCTAAGGCGACAACCTTTTGTTTCTGTTGCCCCTGGAACCTACACATCGGTCCCTCCCTCTCAGTTTCTTGTCCCGGCTCCTCCGCCTCCACTTCCCCCCATCTCAGCAGCATCTTCCTCCCAGTCACTCAGTCCAAACCCCAAGCATCATCTCGTTTTCCCTCTGATCCTCATCACCATCCACCTGCTGCCCCATCCATCGCAAGTCTTGACAACTGCGCCTCCAAAATGACATCCTCAGTCACCGCGTCTCTCAAACGCCATCCGTCCAGGCCACCACCTTCGCCCAGACCCTTGCAGTAGCCTCCTGACTGGTCTCCCTGTGTACCTCTTGCCCCTACAACCTATTTGCCACTCGGCTGCGAGATTAATTTCTTTTATATAAATACGATTATGTCTTTTCCCTAGTTAAACCTCCAAAGTCTTCACGGCATACTTAAAATAAAATCTACCCCCTATGTGGGATTATAAAGCCCTCTTTTTGGCAAATCTTTTACTGCCCCCAAACTCTCTCTCCAGATTGTCCCCCACCACCTGGCCCCAGTCACGTGGCCCGTCTTTCTCTTCCTTGAATGAGAGGCTCACGCCCGCCTGAGGTTTTGCACTGGCTGTTCTGTCCTCCCGGGGCCCGCGTGGCCAGCTCCTCCCTGCCGTTCGGCTCTCGGCTCGAATGCCACCACCTGAGAGAGGCCCTCTGGCCAATCTAGGCCTCGTGATCTGGGATGGCCACCTCAGCCCTGTCTCACTCAGCCTCCTTCCTTACGTCTCTGCGGAGCGCGTGTCACTAAAAGGCATTTTTCCTGTTTGATTGTTTATGGCCAGTCCTGCCCTCTGGTGTGTGAGCCCCATAGGAGGTCATGCTGCCCGCCATGGCTCCCAGCTGTGCCTGGCCCTCGGCAGGCGCTCAGCGGATAAGTCTCAGGAAGAGAGGGAGGGAAGATGAGAAGAAAGGGAGGAGAGACGATTGGGCCTCTTTCCTGAAACCAGATCCTTCTACCGACTGCTAAGTTGGCTGTAATACCTTGTCACTCATCCCACTGAGAGGTGGGTCTGTGTTCCCTTCCCTTGAATCTCGGTGGACTCTGTCACTGCTCGATCGACCCATAAAACACGTCAGAACTGGTGCCGTGCAATCTCCGCCGACAGGCCTTAGGAGACTGGCACTTCCAATCTCCCAGAAGGTTGGCTCTGAGGCCCTGAGACCGCCACGCTGGATAATCGACACGTAGATGCCACGGCCAAGAGTCCCAGGTGAGTCTGGCCTTTCAGCCGGCCCCACCCAGGGCACCAGACCTTGGCCCCTCCATCTCTGCCCACCTGCCAGCTTCAGTCAACACTGTGAGGAATAGAACTGCCCAGCCAAGCCCAGCCAGAACTTCTGACCCACGAGGTCGTAAGACACAATCGATCAGTTGTTGTTTTGGTCAGACATCTGGGGTCGTGTGTTACACCCCACAACAGAAAACGTGATCATCTGCCTGTTGGCTGTGTCTACTCGGATGTCACAGAGGCAGCTTGGTGCTTGGACGTCCAGCACTAAACTGTCTTCCTTCCGCTCTGAGTCCGGCCCCAAGCCTGTGCCCCCTTGGAGTCCCCCACCTCCAGAAATAGCGTCACCATCTACCTAGGAATTCCAGTCAGAACCTGGAAACTGTTCCCGACGTCTCTCTCCCTTCACACGCTCCAGCGCGGATGAACCAGCGGGATATTATGCGAAGTAGACAAAGGGACAAATCCTGTACGATCCCACTGACCTGAGCTACTCGGAGCGGTCGGCCTCATGGGGGCAGAAAGGAGGCCAGTGGCTGGGAGAAGCTGGGGTGGGGGTGGGGGTGGAGTTGTTTAATGGATGCAGAATTTCAGCTTCACAAGGTAAAAAAGTTTTGCAGGTGGATAGTGGTGATCATCGCTCTGTTTCGTGAATGGACTTGCCACAACTGAAATAGTGCATTTAAAGTGGTAAAATGATCAATTTTGTGTTTTTTTACCACACTTAAAAATTAAACCACCAAAACAAGTACCATGAATCAGATCCTATCAGTCCCATTGGAAGACCCTCCGATGGCTTTCTGTGGCATTTAGGGTGAAGCCAGACCCGGCACAGGGAAGAGTGTTCTCTGAACTTGCTGGAAAGAGATGCGTTCATACCTCCGAGTGTGTAGAAAACAAAACGCGTTAGGGGAAGCTCCAGATCTAAGTCTGACATGAGAACCTGAGCTGACACGCCCCTCTGTCACTAGAAGCCTCGAAGTGCGCCCCGCGGTCGTTACCAAGGGCTCACTCTCTCGCTTGCCTGTTTAACATCTTTGTCCGTGGCTGTGCTCACGGGTCCCGGCACAGTTCCTGGCACACAGCAGGTGCTCGATAAATGTCTGTGAGCTGCAAGAAGAGGGCGCACCTGGAGCCAAACTCTTGCAGGTGTCTCTGCCCTTCAGAGCGACTCATAATTGTCTGCCCACCTGCATGGGGACCGAGGCCCATCCAGGTGACCTAGAGCAGGAATCATATTTGATTGGCAGACACGTGGTTGTTGTGGCCTCTGATGGCTCCTCCCCATTTTGTGGTGTTAGGGTAATTTCAAAAGTTGCGGCCCCTGGTCATGTACCAGCTGACATTACGGGGAGGAAGGTCAAAGGCCGGTGAGCTGATGGGGAAGCGGAGCAGCCCTGATCATCTGAGGAGGCTGGGAGCAGAGCTGACCGTGAAGATGGCAGGGTCCGAGGCCTGGACGTCCCCAGCATCCCGCCAGCCACAGTCACTGTGTGGCGTCAGAGGCTGCTTCCTCCTCGTTACCAAGCCCCGCCCCCTCCCGCGTTCTCTAGAACAGATCTCGACCACACACACGCTTCGCATTCCTTTCTCTCTCCATCTCCAGCGCCGCTGCCTCCGTCCAGGTCCCCAGCATTTCTTACGCGGGCAGAGCAGTCACCAGGTTCTACTCCCGCTCCCTGCCTCTGGCCTTACCTCTCCGTCCTGCCGCACGCCGCTGCCGAGGGCAGCGTTCCAGACACAAAACAGACGGCCCTCTGTCGCCCTCGGCAAAAAAGACCGCCCTTGGCCAGGCTTACGAGGCTCTGCTCAAGTCGGATCCTCTAACTGGACCCGTCCTACATCCCGCTCTGCTGCTCTGTTTCACGCGCGCGGAATTCATGCTGAACTCCGTGGTGCTCCCAACATAGGCTGTGGGGTCGTTTGCCTCTGTGTTTTTGCACATTGTGTGCCTTCTGCCCCAGAACTCTTTTTCTTGCTATGACCACCTGGTAACCTCCCAACCATTCCTGAGGCTGAGGCAGATGATATTGAGTGACTGATCGTACCCCTTCTTCTGCCTTGCTACCTTCCAGCTACGGGTGGCCACGTGAAGGACACTCGCTGGCACCGGTCCTTTCCCCCTCCTCCTTCCTGTCTCGACACCAGACGTGATGTCTGGTGCTGCTGCAGCCATCTTACGACCATGTGGCAACAAGCACCCCGGCAAGCATAGTCACGTGGAAAGGCGAACAGTCCCTGTTCCTAATGCACCTTGCGCACACCCTGCCCACGGTCTCATATTTTTCTTTCTGCGACCCTCTCTGAGAAAAGAGATCGAGTCTTCTCACCCTTAGTCTTTAGTTCCCACAGCCCCGCCCCCAGCCCCTGGCGCACAGCAGGATACTCAGTAAGTGGATTTGTAGAGAATAGAACCTACCTGCCAGCCTCATTTTTTAAGTTTACACTTAAATTATTTTGATTACGAGCTGCCTCCATGCCTTATTTGAAAAAGGCAAGGAAAACAGATTAGCTGGTTTAAAAAATAAACAAATAACTCGATGTAGATTACCGAAATATTGCAGAGGAACAAAAAGGCTGAGATATTCCTCAAGACTCTTCTCTTGGCATCGCCCTGCAAGAAATGCGGGTGGCCGGCGGGGCGCGAGGCTCCTTCCCCGGTCCCCTCCTCTTTGCCGCCGCCTTCTCGCAGACACGTACTTCCACGGCTGGCAGGTGGCACGTCGCTGCCCCGGGAAGCCACACCCCCGGCCGCGGCTCCGCTCTTCAGGCAGGAAGCAGTGAGGGGCGTGGCACCGCCATTGCAGACCGTGACCACCCGCAGGGTTCTGATGTCCTCCGAGAGCTCGGGCTCCTGGTGAATGGACTCGATGATGAAGAGGTTCTGGATGTACTTCTCGGCGATCACCAGGACGGAGTAGGGCAGGTTGTACCAGGTGTACGCGGGGCGGGACTCGGCACAGAGTATGGCCAGGATGGAGCCCCAGGAGAGGAACCAGGAGCCAGAGGCCGTGCCCACCAGGAGGTCCGCGTCCAGCTTGCGGGCTGGGTTTTTGGATTCGTCTAGTGATTGCTCGTCAAGCCTGTAGATCAGGGTTCCCATCAGCCCCGCAGCCCCCATGAGCACCAGCAAGGCGATGGCGTACAGGTAGAACATGGTGAGCGCCGACTCGCTCCTGGATTTGGAGCGTCCGATCTGAATCAGGTACACCACCACGACCCCAATCGTGGCGGCCAGCACGGTCAGGCCCAGGGCCGAGCCCACCGTGACCCCGTGAAACTTGAACTGTATCTTCTGGTGCTGAGGACTGTCCATTTGGCGTCCAATATTTTTCCACAGGACATAGAGCATCGTGGAGGCCAGGATCTGGTATTCAATGTTGAAAGGGTAGAGGTAGTAGATCCCGTGAGAGATGGCAGAGCAGAGTGTCGGGGGCGTGCAGTTACACGACGGTGTGTGGTCGTCGAGCTCTGGGGGAGGGGGAGGTGGATCACACGGGAGGGTGATTAGCACGTTCATTGGGAAATGGGAAAGCACACAAATATTTTCACTGCGGATTCACGCTTGGGTTTTCCCATTGAATTAAAAGCTTGTTATGTTTAATATCATAGTTAAACTGATAGCCGGGACTATCCCCCAATAAGTATTAATTACACAAATCATATTTATCCGTACATTGGAATATTATGCAGCCATTATAAATGGTATGGCAGAAGTTTACTTAGCAACACATAAAGATGTTCACAAGATATCGAACGAGAGGCTTGCCAAAGAAGCCAGAGCATGACTCTATTTTTATAATTTATAGATGTACAGATGATAGACAGATAGATAAACATAGAAAAGACTAGAAAGACACAAACGAAAATGTTTACAGTGGTTATCTCTGAGTAGAAAAATGGCAAGTGATTTTTCTTTTCTTTTTTTCGGTAAAAGAAATTGTTATAGTGTCCCTTTGTCCCAGCTTTGTTGAGATGTCATTGACATGTAACACTGTGTAAGTTTATGGTGCACAATGTGCTATTTTCCTCCAGATTTCGTTTCCCTGTATTTTCAAAACTTTCAATGTGAATATGATTTACATGTGTAATTTAAAAAAATTATTTTTAAAAAATAACTCTGTGAGGGAAAATGCCCTTTCTCATTAGCAAAGATTTTCCTCTCGAGAATATCCAAGGCTAGCAAGTGTGACATGACACAGGCACCCTCAGACACCAGTGGCGGGACGGCAAGTTGCCACCGCCTGGAAGATGCTGGCAAAGGTATAAAGAAACGTTTCATAATAGAAGGGGAAATGTGAGTAAATAATGAAGTATGCAACAAAAGCTTTAAAGATGATATACAGTCTTTAATCTATAATTCCAATCTATTCTAAGGGCTAAATCAAAAAATATAATCAAAGCATTAGGTAAAATTGTGTGTGTGTGAGAGAGAGAGAGACAGAGAGAGAGAGAGAGAGAGAGAGAGAGAGAGATGGTGTAAAATGGGAGGGAAGGAGAGAGAGAAACACCTCAGTGTGGAATAGAACAGGATAGAACAAGATAGAGTGAGTGGAATTAAACACAATAGAAATTTGAGAGTGTCCCCAATATACTATGATGATTATTTCATGATATATGTGTACACAAATACGGGTATATGTGCGTTTGGGTTGCAATGTAAAGTTTGTTTCTTAGTTGTAGTCAAAAGTAAAGATTAAATATATACAGTAGGATCTCAACTGTAAATAAATAAGTAGCAAACTACAAAGAAATAACCAAATATTAAAAGCATTTAATTGCATTTCTAGGTAGGTATTATGGTGGATTTTTTTTTACACTTTGTCATTGTTTTAATTTATAAATATACTATTTATAAAGTCAGATGGAAAGGCTTCGTTTGGCATTAAGTACCCTCACTTTCACAGAAGACTGCAATTTTCAATTCATAAAGAGGTCCCCCACCCCTTGTAACCCAATACTGTACTATGCAAGGGACAGGGGAAGAGTCAGATTAACAGTCAGATTAAGAGAGCTGATGGAATCCTTTTTTTTAAAATTAGTCTTATCCCCTCTTTCACAGAGGTCCCTGGAGCCAGATAGCTAGGCTTCAGATCCTGACTCAATCATGACTCGCTGTGTGACTTTGGCTAGTTACTTAACTTCTCTGTGCTTCAACGGCTTCATTCGTATGACGCGGTCCAAGGCGCCCACCTCAGCATGCTGGGACAAGAATGAAATGAACCAGGTCCAGCGCCTGGGACCGCGCCGGGCACTCAGCAAGTGCTTAACAAAACTCTGTGTTCGTTATTGTTGTCATTGCTGCCCGTGTTATTATTAGCAACGAGAAAATGAAGCCCGAAGAGAGAGAAGGGCCCAAGAGTGGGCTGTTGGCTGGGAATGGTGCAGAAATACGGTGTGCGCCCCAGGTTTCATCATCCGCACCCCGCCGGTGAGGCGACGGGGGCCCTCTGCGACCGGCCTGCGTCATACGGCTAGCATAGCTGTGTGGTACGGTAGAGCTGGAGGGGCTCTTTGAAAGCACATGGTACAGGTCCCCTGGCTTTACAAACGGGAAAAGGGAGGCTCGGAGAGGCCGAAGGTCACACAGCTCGTACGCGATGGGAACAAGGCCCGAACCCGAGACGTCGGATTCCCAGTACGTAGCCCTTCTCCCTGCTACGCATCCCTGCCAGCCTCAATGTTCGAATGTAGAAGCGAGAGGTCACCAACGCTAAAGGACTTGGGAAGAAACCAGAAATATTAGCACTACGGGAAAACAAGGAAGAATAAAGGCAGGCCAGAATTATGAGCAGAGTAGAGTTAAATGAAGACTTCGAATGAACTAAAACCAATTAAGCACAACCCACCATTAGATGTCTGTGGATTTCTAAAAGCTCTATTTTTAGTGGAAAGAACTCGTAATAAAGGCTTAATTAAACCCCCCGACAGAAACAACCTCCAATCTGCCATAGTTGTAAACAAAGACATTTATTTCCATTCTGAAGTGGACCGTGAGAAGTGGTGACCCAAATGATGACCCTTGGGTCTGACCAGCGTCTGAGTCACTGAAGACCTTTAATTATGCTCAGCACAGCTACTTACGGGGCCAGCACGAGAGACTCATGAGGTTTTGCAAGATTCTCAACAGTGACAGAGGATTGTCTGGCCAGTGCTAAGTTGGATGGACCCTAGAGTTCTCTGGAAACTGCCTTCATCTCCGAGCTTCCTGGTCCCTGCGGGTTCCCAAGATGTCCCAGCGTGGCCCAGGGCGGCCGTCACCACTCACCTATCGTTATGTTCCCAAAGCCCAGAGTCATGAGCCGTTCCTTGTGTTCGTTCAGTTGGTGCTTTGACTCATTCAGGACGCCGTTGGTCCACAGAAGCAGGTTGGTGAACACAGAGTGGATCACCCCAAATCTGAAAAAAACACAAGGACTCAGTTCTTGAGCAGCCCTGGGAAGCTCCGAGCCCCGCAGGGTGAGACGGAGACATTGCACACACACACACACACACACACACGCCTCCTTCTTAGCCATGATTCTGGTGGTATCTGGCAGAGCTCAGGCTCTGGGTGGGTCCCCAGTCTGGCTGGGAACACAGTTCCATGGGAACTATCAAAACCACCGTGTTGGCATTCTGTCTTAATCTTGAACCTGCCAGTACTCGACTCTTCGCCAATGGAACGAAAAGAAACTGGGTTTGGGGAGCAGGTACATAGGGATGGAAATTTTCTAAAAGCAGGAACCAAGCCTACCATAGGTTAACTTCTTTCTTCTAGAAGGGAAGAGGCGAGAACAATAGAGGAAAGACGGAAGGGCTCCACTGGAGAGCTGGGTATGCCCTTACTGTTGGTTGGCCAACTCATTCTCCACCTCCTCTGCCTTGGCACTTACCTCTAAAGACACTGCAACCAGCCAGAAACTTGCTGTCTGGCCTCCCTTGCAGCTAGGCATGGCCACCGTGGCCGGCGCAGTGTGAGGTAAAGTCTACGGGCACTGCCAGAAAGCTTTTGCTCTCTTGACAGAAGAGGTAAGAAAAGCCACTGACTATCCCTCTCCCCTTTTGTTCCAGCCTTGAATGTAGACGTGAAGGCTGGAGTGTGGCAGCTATCTTGTGACCATGAAGCAACCCGCATGAGATGAAGAATTAAACCACTGAGATGGCAGAGTGGTTCTGTGACAACATTGTTGAGCTGCTGGAGTCTGGGATGGGTTCAGAAATTAGGTCATGGTCATGAATTGAGTAAGGAGCCACGGTGGGGTGTGAAGAGTGACTGAGTAGCAGGGCCGTTCTAGTCTGACCCCAGGGTCCTGCCCCTGCCTCCACGCCGCCTCCTAAGGACAAGGGGTGAAGTGGAAGGTGCGCACTGGACTCTGGGGAACAGAGAAGAGATATGTAGGGGACACGGTTCCAACAGAGTCACAAAACCTCCCGTCTCCCCCGCCTGCCGGTTTGAGATGTATTCACATCGGTGCCTTCCGGGGTGCTTCCCAATGGGCCTTGTGTGGAGCAGGTGCAGCGAATGCTGGTAATTTGAGAGGCATGTCCCCGAAACTCATGTGTAGCTATCACGCCTCGGGCGGAGAGCAGAGGCCCAGAGGAAGCGCGCCCCCTCCCCGTCTAGCGCACTTGTCCGCGATCGATCCGTAGGGAAAATGGTGTGAGTGGGACCTCGACCCTGACCTTGCCTCTTCTCTGAGTTCCGACCCCCGCTGACCCCATTGGGGCTCCCACGAGCGATTGCTGGCATCGCCCTGCTTTCTTTGGCAGCTGCATAACATCCGGGCACCGCTGGAAAAAATAACAGCCTCCCAGGGGCGTCTGAGTCAGGTGTTTGCCCATCTGCTGGCCCCTCACTTGCCCGGTTGCTATAGATCGTGCCAGTCTGCCCCAGGGCCTCCGGGAGGCATTGTATAGAGCCTCCGACAAATGCAGACAATGCCGTTTGCCTCGGGCTGGCTGGCTTTTCTTCTACGTATAATGCACACAGCTCTTCTTTCTTCTCTTTTTTCCCCCGGTCCAAATGGCGGTTGTCCAAGCCCAGGCCCACTGAACAGAGGAGGTGACGCGATGCCTTGTGAGCCCCCCACCCCCACCCCTGCCAGCTGGTAGCCTCCTGTTGGTCTGACCTGGAAATGATCCTACAAACTCGGGGCAGATGTCATTCCCTCGTGCCAGGCTGCCTTTCGCATTCTCGGATCCAATAACCCCAGACCACAATAAAGAGAAGGTTTCCGTGAGCCACTTCTAACCTCGAAGGCTGTTGCCAGCCCTGCTTTCAAAACCAGTGTTCCGGTAAACCTCGCCCTTGGGGAAAAGAAAAGGACTTGAAGCAGTAAGAGGAATTCTCGGATCAGGAGAAAATCCTGATACGGACTATGAGCCTGGGATGCTGGGATACTGGCTCAGAAGAGCGGAAGAAAGCATAAGTCCGGGGCCGGCGAGTCCCTGAGACTTCAGGGCCTGGCAGGAGATGCCGATGGGGAGAGCAGGCCAGGGCTGGCATCAGGGGTTGGTGGGGACTGCAGCCAACCGAGGGGACAGCCCCTATCTGACGGGCACGACGCCGACTCAGCTCCATCTCTCTGTCGCCTTGCCCGTTGGGGATTGCCAGGTCTTCTGGATGTCTAGACAAGTTTAAATCTAAAATCTAAAGGTGGCGAGTAACTCAAAAGTGTTTAACGCTTGGCCCTACAGGTGAAACAGGATAAATCAGGCTACACGCGTGGCTGGTTCAAGCACTCGCTGTCCAGTTCAGGAAAGAGGCCCAGACACAGGGAGAGACTCGCTTTCCATCGCTTAGTAAGCAAGGCCAAGACAGGACTGTGTGCCAGCCCGCCGGGTCCCCTCAGCGAAATTGTCCTGGTGGCAAATGTCTGCATGCAGCACTGTCCAAGGACAGACGACGCGAGACACAGATGTGAGCCACGTGTCTAACTTACATTTTCTTGTAGCCTGACCTTGGCCTTATGCTTCAGTTCTCTGAGGCTCGGCTTCCTCCTTTGCTGAATGAGATCACAGTCATGCCTATTGTCCGTGACTGACGGGACTCTTGTGAAAGGGACCTCACGTGTCCCACAGGTAAAAAGGACGTGCTTCATAAATGAGAAAGTTCCTTCTATCCGGCCAAGAGTTCCCTGGGGACAGACAAGCTGCTCCACATACACCTGCCGAGAACATGTCGCCCTTTCCCCCAACAATTCTACTTCTAGGAATTTAACCCCAGCAAATAATCAGCAGCGTTCAGAGAGATTTTTGACTGAAGATGTTCATCCAGTACTATTTATAATAACAGCCGAGCATTCAGAAAGGTTAATGTCCAACAAGAGGTGTTACGGGCTGGATCGTGTCCCCTTAAAATGTGTATGCTGAAGCCCCACCCCCCAGCGTGACCATATTTGGAGATAAGGCCTTTAAGGAGGTTATTAGGGTTAAATAAGGTCATGGTGTAGGGCCTCGACTCAACAGGACTGGTGCCTTATAAGAAGAAACTCCAGAGATATCTCTCTCTCTCTCTCTCTCCCTCTCTCTCTCTCTCTCTCTCTCTCTCTCTCTCTGTCTCTCTCTCTCTCTCTCAATCTCTCTCTCTCTCTCCTCCCCTTACCTGGAGGAAAAGCCATGTGAGGACATAGTAACAAGGAGGCAGCCCTCTGCAGGCCAGGAAGAGAAGACTCATCAGGAGCCAGCAATGCTGGTTTCTCCGCGTTCTGGAGGCTCCAAGTCCAAGATCAAGGCGCCCCCGGGCCGGTTCCCTATGAGAGCTCTATTCCCGGCTGGCAGACGCCGCCTTCTGTGTCCTCACAGGGCCTTCGTCTGGGCGCACAGAGAGAGCGCGCTCTGGCCTCCCTCTTCTCCTGAGGACACTCATTCCATCGTGGGGACCCCACCCTCGTGACCTCATCGAAACCTAGCTCCCTCCGAAGCCCCCCCCACCTCCAAATGCCATAACTTTGGGAGTCATATGAACCTGGTGGGGGTGGGGGGAGAGACGCAAACGTTCTGTCTGTAACAGTGGCATTGTGGCGATTTTAAATTCTACTGTATCCTGACAAGTTTTATTAGGGAAAAAAAATATAGTTTTTTAAACTATTAAATTTATTGGAGTGACATTCGTTAATAAAATTATATAGGTTTCAAGCGTACAATTCAGTAATACGTCCTATGTATGCTGCACTGTGTATTCACCACCCAAGTTTAAATCTCCTTCCGTCCCCATATATTTGACCCCCTTGCCCCTAATCTACCTCCACTCCTGTCTGGTCACCACTAAGCTATTGTTCATGTCCATGAGTCTGTTTGTCTTGTTCATTTGTTGCTTTCAGTTTTATATTTTGAAGAATAACTATGAAGTAGATGAAGCACAAACCACACCTCAGAACAGAAACTCCAAGTGTCCTCAAGCTGCGAGCAGAGCCAGCCTGCCCATAGCAGGAAGGGCAGGTGACACGCACATCCTCCTCACCCCCCAGCACATGAAATGGGACAAACCAGGACAAAATCCCAGGCCCGCCATCTGCACTCTGGCGACCTGGGGCGAGTCCCCTCACCTGCCAGAACTTGCTGCTGTTACCATAGTTACCCTCACTGAGCCGCAGGCGGAGTAAATGTGAGGATGGGCGTGGAAGTCTTTGTCCTGCTCTAAGGGGTCATTAAAGCTGTCTTCGCTGAGTCCTTGGAGCCTGGACCTCGACTATCCCTGCTTTGTCCATTCGCCCCCTCCCCTGGAGGCCGGAGCCTTGGCACTGGCTTCCGGCCTCTCCCCTGCCGCTCCCTCCCTCGTCCTCCCCCAGCAGAAGCAGCGTCTTTCTGTGCTAAGTCTGAAGTTAAAGGTCACTATCAAGGCCACTGCTTGGGGCTGCGCAGGGGATAATCCAGGTTGTCAGCGCACATCTCTAGGATGCCACACACACGCCTAGGACATCTCGCCCATGCTCACTGCTCATCCCCAGCAGTGCCTGGCAACAAGCCCTGCACACAGTAGGACCTCAACAGATGCCCAACGACTTGTCGACGCCACTCCGTTTTGCGTAACGAGGTTGGTGAAAGTTATTTCTATTTCAATCATCTATTAACAGTGCTCTTTCCGGTGGTCAGACATAAAATCGATCTTTTAAATATCCGTTGTCATTTTAAACCGTACACGAAACAGAGTTTTCTCATCCTCACTGACAGTTTCTATGACGAGGGATCTTTCTATAAAGCAAATACTGATCCCTTGATTCATCTGTACGTATGCACAGAGGGCTTCCTTACATAATAATCATGCCTTGCACTGAGGTAATCCACCCCATTACCCTGTGGTTTCTTCCCCTCGATTGTCACCATCACCTTGAGAGAGAGGTGGACAGAGATAATAACAGACCCAACATCTGCCGAGCATTGCTTGCGTGTGCTCGCAAGCTCTACGTCAATTACTGCCTTCAGTCCTCAGAGGCTGGTATTATCCCCATTTTACAGACGAGGAAAACTGAGGGTCATGAAGGGGAAATGTCTAAGACGGCAGAGTTGAAACGCAAACCCACGCCCTCCTACTTCCGGTGCTGTCCCCGGGAAGAGGCCGAAGGCAGAGAGCCAGCTCCGGCCACGAGTGAGGCTCTGCTTGCCAGGATGCAGCAGAGAGTCCGTCTCAGGCTTAGAACCCAAGCAGGACGGCGAGTTTCGTTTGTAACCGAACACCAAGTTCAACATGTAAAGCAATGACTTTTCCCCACGCACGATTTTTACCTTTCCAGTGTTTTGAAAGACTGGATGACGTCCTTTGCGTGGCCCCAAAGAAAATATACCTAGACGGAAATAAAGGGAAAAAAGAGAGACTCATCAGTGGGAAACGATCATAATATTTGCACACTTCGCAAGCTCTAAAACTTAAGGAAAAGGTGTGGGAAAGGGGGGGAACGACGGTGACCGCCCACCCTGAGAACGGCAGGTCGCCGTCCTCATTTCCGGTGGCAGCGCCATTCCTGGCGGGGACGGTGCTCGGGGATCGTGGCGGTAAGAATCAGAGTGAGGCCTCCAGGGTCAGGTGCAAACGGGCCCTGACGACTGAGGATGCCTGCGCGGGACGGGGTTCGAGGAGCGGCAGCCACCTCACGATGACCCTGCTGACCTGTTTATATGACCCGCTGAACAGTCACTACGCCAGGGGCCGGAAGCCAAACGCCGAGCGCTTTAAATGAAGAACAGAATTGATTCGGCGGCTCATTTCGCTCTATGACATCGGCTGCCTGCCCCGGCCATGCAGTCCCTGGGAGGCTGCAGCGGAAGAGCTGGGCTTGGGGAGGCCTCCAGCGACCTGCGCCCCATCCCGGCTCTCCTGGCCTCGGGCATATTAGGGAAACTGCTTTCTGCTTCTGTTTTCCCATCTGTGAAATGGGGACGATGACAGAACCGACCTTGGAGGGTGTGATGAGCAACTGAATAAGATAATCTGTGTCAACTACTTAGAGCAGTGCCTGGAGCAGGGACATGTTCAGTAAACTGTCACCTTACTCACTTGTTGACATTCATGGAGCACCTGCTATGTACCCGGCATTATCTGGGCTCCTAAAACATTCTGGCCCTTATTTTAGACACAGACACATACTGAGCACCTACTAGGTGCCAAACATTGGTGGGCACTTTACAAATTTGTCTTTTTAATCTTCGGTTTTGCATTTACCGTCCTTATAAAAGAGATGTACCATGTCTTGCACATTGTTTTACCTAAAATTTACTGTCCCGCTTTGGAAAGCATTTTTGAGGTATGATTCTTGAAACATCTGATCATTTAAAGAGCAGATAGCAGTGACTCCTGGTAAGATGACATTCAGCCCCAAAACAGGGAACCAGGTAAGTAAATTTGTACCGACTCTAAGTTAGACAGCTACTTAACTGATGCTCTTATAAGGATTACGTGGCAACACAAAAAAGTTTCTTTTTTTAGGTCAAAAACTTGAAATAAAACACTCTGCACCTTCTCTGTAAAACTTTGACAAAATGTACACTTAAGCACAAAGAATGGAGGGGACACATAAAAACAACAACAAATATTTCAGTTAATGGGATAATAGATGCATTTTTCGTCTCTTTTCTAATTGTTTCCGTAATGTGATACTGTATTTTTTAAATAAATATTTTTAACTACCACACCATCCACCGATCCCACTTCTGAATGCATACGCAAAAGAACTGAAAGGAGGGTCTCATAAAGATATTTGTACACCTGTGTTTATAGCAGCATTATTCACAACAGCAAAAAGGTGGAAGCGACCCAAGTGTGGATGAATAAACACAGTATGGTCCATCCGTGCGATGGAATATTGCTCAGACTTAAAAAGGAAGGAAATCCTGTCACATGCTACCACACGGATGGACCTGGAAGACATTATGCTAATGAAATAAGCCGGTCGCAAAAGACAAATACTGCAAGATTCCTTTTATAGAAGGTCCCTAGAGTAGTCCAATTCATCGAGACAGAAAGTAGAATGGGGGGTGGCGGCCAGGGGCTGGGCGAGGGGACAATTTGGAGTTAATGTTTAATGAGGACGGAGGTTTATTTTTGCAGGGTGAGAAAATCCTGAAGATTGGTTGCACAGCAGTGTGAACACACTTAACACTACTGAGCGGCATGCTTAAAAATGGCTAAGACAGAAAATTTCATGTTATGTGTATTTTACAATTTAATAACTATATTTTTTAAAATAATGTTTGCATTCTCCAGTATCTAATGTAGCAAAGGCACGTAGCAAGGGTCCGATAGGTATAGAATGATTGGTTAATTCATTGACTGACTGATAAAGTACCTTAAATTAGGAAGACAGAGATCGCCAATCTACCAAGTCACAGGGTGGAAACCTACATCTGTCCAGGCCATTCTGCTGGCTCCCCATTGCCCTCGCGATAAGACCCAAGCTCCTAAATGTCTGTGCCCTTGACCCAGCGCTCACTGCAAAGGGCTTGACACACAGCAGGACTTTTAATCCTCCCAAGAACCTCGCGAAGTAAGCACTTTACAGATGAGATCTGCGAAGCCCGGAGAGGTTAAGTAATTTGCCTGCGGTCACACTGCTGCTATGAGCCACAGCCAGGTAGCCTGGCCAGTGCGTAAGCCCTACGCGAAACCGCGGCTCTGGCCTGTCCTGTGACCACCGCTCACCTCCACCCACAGCCCCGCACACTTTCTCCCATGTCACTTGGAAAGGCCCCACGTCCATAAAATGTCCACGTTTAATGGTTTCTAACACACTACACTCTTCTTTCATTGACAACTCTGGAGCTCTATCCTGGCAGAAAACACCCCTCACCCCAAAGCTGGCAAGAGGCTCCCCACCGGTGCTCCCTGTCGCTGGGTGACTTCGGTCAAAGCGCTGTCCCCCCGTGTTGCCATTGCCTGTTTTTGTTTGGTGACTGTCTTCCCGTCTGACTGACCAGCATAGGACACAGAGCATGGCTGTTCACCCTGGTACTCCCAGTCCCGAGAATAGTGTTTGCTCAGTTTGGAAGGAAGAAAAAAAGGAAGGAAGGAAGGAAGGAAGGAAGGAAGGAAGGAAGGAAGATGAAGGAAAGAAAGAAGGAAGGGAGGGAGGGAGGGAGGGAGGGAGGAGCTAGTGCTTTCTGGTGTCACTGAGCCTTCCACATTGTCACTGGCACCAGTGTGAGACCCAGTCACCACGGGCTTTGACCCCCCTGGAGTGACTAGTCAGTTACTCCTCGTGTTGGTTTGCTGGTGGCTCCATAACACAGACTGGGTGGCTTAGAACAACAGAAATTAATTTTCCCACAGTTCTAAAGGCCAGAAGTCTGAGATCAGATTTTC